AGAAAGAGTAATCTTATGATTCAAGCTAATTTAAAGCTAACCTGACATTGAAAGGGAAATCTCACCCTTACCCAACACACGGTCCTGCCAAGTTTCTGTATCAACTCTAGTGTTTATGCACCCATGCAGTGAGAGTCTGACCTGTGTGATCCAGCTGAAAGCTAACGATGCAAACAACAATAACAAAATACCCAAAGCAAATAAAACCCCTTGTTTTCAGAGGGATTAATTAATTAACCCAGCTCCCTACACATGCCAGTATCAACAGACACTGAGGACAAGAATGCATGGCTAAGAAAAGGGAAGGCAGGAGGGACTGCACGTTTCAGCATCATCAGTCTTGCATGAGCTTGAGTCAAATATGAATGAGTAGAAAAAAGTGACAAAGCTTTAAGTGTCAAAAGGGAAAACTCACCAACGAGAAAAGCGGTTCTTTAATCTGTTCCACTCTGTGGTATATGGATAGGGTTCATTAGTCTGCAGTTTCTCCCTTCTACCTTTTTGAAAAAAAAGTATTGGACACTGCTCATACAGTTACCAAACTACACCTTAATACTAAGTTGTTTTCCTCTAGCTATGTTTCCTATGATGACTGATAAGAATTAAACATATTGTCTGTAAATGCATGAAAACTAGATTTTATGAACTTTTGTAAAAGCATAATGAAATACAAAACATCCACAAGTATTACAACAAATGTAACATGAACTTGTGTTTTGGATGTTACTTTCAAAACAAGGTAACTATCAGCTACTACCTAAAGTGGTGGTCCTGCTCTCTTCATCCAACTGCTGGCTGTGTACTGCAGCATTTTTTGTGTCACAACTGGCAACTGAGTGCGTACAGGATGAGTTGGTTCAGTGAACTGACATGAGGGAAAACTAATCCTCCAATAAAAAAAAAAAATCAGAGAAACTTCACAAATAAGTAATTTTCTGCTGGATCAAGTCAATAAGCTAATTCATTCTTGATTGAAGAACCACTTGATCCACTGTAACCAGAAAGGAAAGGACTATGTAGCTGGAACTAGAGGGAATGTGGGCTGACCTTTTCAGTAGCACATCATCACTACAGCAGTTTAACTGTGATGTTATATACATTTTCATGTGTATGCACACACACAGTTTCACATCAAGATTAGCACTTACACACTGAGAATTGTGCAACTGTATTTCAATGTTTCCTTCTTCCCCTACCAAATCTGGTATCACTTAACAATAAAGTTTTTAAAGTATTTAAGATAACCAAATTCCACATAAAGTCTTCTAATCTTTATAAATTCCTCCTACCTGAAAAAAAGTTCTCATTCTGCCTTCCAATAGACAACAGTGTTCCAGCAGCACACACACTAATGTTAAAAGTCTCCTCTAAATTATAGCTAAGTGTAGGTCTTCATGAAAGAACCAGAAGCCTCTTCCCAGTATAATAAAAATTCAAACAAATCATGTCATTTACGCTCTTAGGAGTTTTAAGCAAAAGAATTCTCTCATGAATTCTTCAGTACCTGAAGAATGTTACAATGACACAATGTATACGATCAGACACGTATGAAGAAGATTAAATAGTTTCTCCGTTGGAGATTTAAAAAGCACTGGGTGTATCTTAGCACTTTTCTTCTCCTTGTGTACCTATGCAGGCTTCTTGTTTGGTTGGGCATTTTTTGGGTGGGCCTGTTTTTCTTAAGAGTAATATTCTGTTTGGAAAATAATCTTTATATTTGTATAATATTCTCTATAACTTAACAAGGGTCAGTGGTAACCTGGAGATCTTTTCAATCAAGACAGAATCTCCTACTGCCCACTTCCTTTCTTGATTTCACATGAACTGTAACTTCAAATTTCCACTTTAATATCTTCATTAGTTTAACCTTC